ATTTCTAGACCCTTATGTAATCTTTTAGGTAAGGATGTTCCTTTTATATTTGATGATGCATGTCTACAAGCTTTCAATACATTAAAAAAGGAGTTAACATCTGCTCCTATTATTCAACCACCGGATTGGTCTATACCTTTTGAGATTATGTATGATGCTTCTGATTATGCTATTGGTGCTGTTTTAGGCCAAAGAATTAATAAGTTACCTCATGTAATTTATTATGCTAGTAGAACACTCAATGATGCACAATTGAATTATTCCACTACTGAGAAAGAGATGTTAGCTGTTGTATTTGCTTTGGAAAAATTTAGGTCATACATTTTGGGTTCTAAAGTTATTGTTTTTTCTGATCATTCTGCATTAAAATACTTGATGTCTAAAAAAGATGCTAAGTCTAGACTCATAAGATGGATTCTCCTTATACAAGAGTTTGATTTACAAATTAGAGACAAAAAGGGCTCTGAAAATGTTGTAGCTGATCACTTGTCTAGATTGATTATTGATACTGGTGATACTGATTTACCTATTGTTGAATCTTTTCCTGATGAGCAACTAATGCAAGTTTCTGGAACTCCCTGGTTTGCTGATATTGTGAATTATTTAGTTACAAAGCAGTTACCTACAAATTGGAGCAAGCAAGATAAGTTTAAGTTCTTATCTGAGGTAAAACATTTCTTTTGGGATGATCCCTACCTATTCAAGTATTGCTCAGACCAGATCATAAGAAGGTGCGTTCCTGAATGTGATCAACAAAGTATTATTTCTTTTTGTCATGATCATGCGTGTGGTGGTCATTTTAGTTCTAAGAAAACAGCTTACAAAATTCTTCAATGTGGTTTTTATTGGCCTACAATTTTTCGTGATTGCCACACGTATTGTTCATCATGTGATAGATGCCAAAGATTAGGTACCATTAATAAGAAAAATATGATTCCCTTAAATCCAATTTTAATTATAGATATCTTTGATGTCTGGGGCATAGACTTTTATGGGACCATTTCCTAATTCTTTTGGTAATCTTTACATTCTTGTTGGGGTTGATTATGTATCCATGTGGGTGGAAGCTAAAGCATGCAGGGATAATGATCATAAAACTGTTGTTAAATTTTTAAAAGAAAATATTTTTGCACGCTTTGGCACTCCACGAGCTATTATCAGCGATGGGGGTAAACATTTTTGTAATAGAGTTATTGAGTACTTAATGAAAAAATATGGTGTTCTGCATAAAATTTCTACCCCTTATCATCCCCAAACTAGTGGTCAAGTTGAAATTTCTAATAGAGAAATTAAAAGAATTTTAGAAAAAACAGTTAATTCCTCAAGAAAAGATTGGTCTTTAAAATTAGATGATGCATTATGGGCATATCGTACTGCTTTTAAAACTCCCATTGACATGTCTCCTTATCGTTTGGTTTATGGAAAAGCATTTCATCTTCCAGTTGAATTAGAGCATAAAGCATATTGGGCTATTAAAACTTTAAATTTTGATTTGGAGCAAGCCGGTGTTGAGAGGAAATTGAAACTTAATGAACTAGAAGAGATTAGAAGTGATGCTTATGATTGTGCTAAATCTTACAAAGAAAGAATGAAAAGAGTACATGATCAGAATATTCTCAGGAAATCTTTTGAGCCTGGCCAGAAAGTCTTACTTTATAACACTCGTCTGCATTTGTTTCCTGGTAAGTTGAGATCTCAGTGGTCTCGTCCTTTCATTGTTCGCACTGTTTATTCCCATGGGGCTGTTGAAATTGAAAATCCCAAGGATGGTGCTGTTTTTAAGGTAAATGGCCAACGATTGAAACCCTTTTATGAGCTAAAATCTCCAGAGATCGAGGAGATCACAATTGAGGATCCTGTCTACCAGGACTAATTTATTCAATTTATTAACTATTTTTCTTTTCTTAATCTTAGTGAGTCGGCTTAAGTGCCTCCCAGAGTTCGGTACCTTTGTATGGGGATGTATATAGTGTCGGCCAAAAAAAAAAGAAAAAAGAATTTTTTTAATTGCCCTAGTTATTAGTTCCTTTTTTTTTTCCTTGTCATTTGTTTATCAGGTGGAGAAGGAAACTTATCGGAGAGCTGCATAAAGGTGACCCAACGGCAGTAAATAAAGGCGCTTAGTGGGAGGCAACCCAATATTTTCCAGGGAAGTTATTTTGATTAATATTTTTCTTGAGCTGTTGATGTTTTCGTCCCTTAATCTCATTCCATGTTCCATGTTTTTAATAGCTTTAGCTAGTATGTGCAAAGGATTTTTTTATTTTATTTTATAACTTTGACATGCATTGAGGACATTGCATGAATTAAGTGTGGGGGGACACTTACATTTAGTTGTGCATTTTTTTTGGAATATACTTTTTAAAATTTATTTGCATGTTTTTACTATGCATACTAGATATTAGAGGAGCATGGGGTGGGTAGATTTTTTTCTGCATAATAGATGCATTTTGGTTTAAAAACTTCAAAAATTTTTAAGTTTTTAGAGAAAACTGTAATAGTTGGAAGCGTATTTAAAAAAAACTTATTAGAATTCAAAATAATTACTTCTTAATCTTTTAGCACTCTAAGTGTTTGTATTTTGGCATTAAATGGAAATTAATATTGTAACAAATATGTTTGAACTTCTTAAAAGAATGAGTTTGCTACTCCAAAATTTAAAACATATCTTTTAAATCAAATCTATTTAGAACTTATTTTTATTTAATCTCTTACCTTTTATTTAGTTAAGTTCAATGTGCCTAATTTATTTAGAAGTATATGGAGCAGTTTTCTAACTCTTTTTCGTCCTAAGTTTCTATTCAAGTTAAGTTAGTCTTAAGAAAATCTTTTTTCTTCTCTAAACTTTGGTTAATTACATATTATCAAGATGTTGAAATGAATATAATATATATATACTGGAACACCATCTTAGGTTGGAATGGGTGGCACGGCACCTTTGACCCCTTAAGCAACGAATCTCAAAAGGAAGTGATGTTGTGTATGAAGAAAACCTAAGTTGGAAGAGCAAACCCCGTTTTGGGCCGTAAGAATCTCGTCCATAACCAGTTTAAAATAATAATAAAAAAAACCGACGCCATTGAGCCAAAAAAAGAAAAAAAAGTGTAATACCCCGTATCAAGATGGAAAAGGGAAGAGCTCAAAAGGATTGATAGTACTACTCATACCAACAAGGTGCATCTTCTTTTCGAGAGCTCATCATCACCTAGAAACTCCAGAGTTAAGCGTGCTTGACCTGGAGCAATTCTAGGATGGGTGACCCCCTGGGAAGTTTCCTTGGGCGCGCATGAGTGAGGACAAAGTGCGCGGGAAAAGACTTGTGTTGGTTTGTGGGGCCAGTCTATAATCCTTTGAACGAACACTTACGGCCAGGGTGGGGGCCGGGGTGTTACAAATAAATGTAACGCCCCGAAATTTGGCCCAAAAGAATTAATTAAATTGTTAGAGCAATTGATTACGAATTGGGCCCAAAAAGGGGTTAAAATTATAATTTGGATTCTAAGCCCAACTTTTATGTCATCTCGTAGGAAATATTTTTGTGATCGCGTCGGTTCAGACAGCTCGCGAATCGGAGTTATGGAGCTCATGTTACGACCATTTAATCAGGTATTTTGGGTCCGGAGCCCAATCCTTTTTGGAATGGGACCATTAAATAAACCTAAACCACACAAACCTTATCTTCTTCTTTTTTCGTTCGTCCTTCTCCTTCTTCTTTCTTCTTCTTCTTCTTCTTCTTTCTTCTTTCTTCTTCTTCTTCGCCGATCGACCTCCGCCGCTCCTCGTCGCCGTCCAATTGGAGCAGCCAGCCGCCGGTGTCGCCGGTGTCGCCGCTCATCGCCGGTCGCCCTCCCCAGCCAATCGCCGTCGCCGAGCCTCCAGCCGCCGTCGCTGAGCCTCCAGCCGCTGTTTCACCTTCGCCGGAAATCCGCCATCATCGCCGACGAATTGCAGCGCCGCCACGCCGAGCGCTGGACGTCGCCTCCACTGCCGGCGTCCTTCCTCGACGTCGAGCGCAGCGTCGCCAGTCGCTGCCCAGCGTCGCCAAGCCTCCAGCCGCCGTCGCCAAGCCTCCAGCGCCGCCGCTGCTTCCTTCGCCAGTAGCCGCCGCCATCATCGCCGACGGGTGCAGCGCCGCCACGCCGAGCGCTGGACGTCGCCTCCATTACCGGCGTCGTTCTCGCTGTCGAGCTGCCGCTCCGCCACTGTCGCCGGCGTCCGTCATCGTCGCCGCATCCAGCCGCTGCCCCGAGTTGATATCGCCGGCGGATTAACCTCCGCGCCGGATTGATTGGTCGATTTCGCATTTTGACTCGATTTGACCCGTTCGTTTGATTTCGTTGATTTGCCTTCCGTTCGAGCTATCGATTCGATTTCGGCGTAATCCAGGTCCGTACTATGAAGTTAATAGCATTCAGAATAGATTTAATGGTTTGGATCGTTATATGTGTTTATGCTATAATTTGGCTAAATTGGTTAATTGAATTAAATTGATTGTTTGAATTGAATTGTTGAGGATTGTGAATTGATTGAACAGGTTTGACTTTGACTTGGGTTAGTTCCTGTTTGACTTGGACTTTGACTGGATATTCTGTTGTCGTAGGTTTGACGGGATGGTTAAATCCAAGACTTTAATGAATTAGTTAAGTTAATTAATTAATTCTAATCGGTGATTAAGGTCATTTGGTTTATTGTGTTGAACATAGAAACTGGCCATTGCTTGGGCGGCTACAGGGCCTGGTCAGTGAGGTTAAGACGTGCGCACGAGGGTCTGCGATCTTGGGTTTGAGGCCATCGCCCGAGGGATCCTACCTCCACCGAATTGAGGCTATCTTCGGTATTACGGATTGAGGCTATCTCCGTCATAGGCATTAAATGTTAAGTGGTTTGACTTTGGTGAAAGTCTAAATTGGTTTGACCGGTGGTCAAAGAGTT